CGAAAATCAAGAGGACCTATAACAAGGCTTTTGGTAGACTTCTCCTGAACTGTTCCCAAATCTTCACTTTTTCCTGAAGAAAAGTCTTGTTGATTTCCAGAACCTACAAGAAGCCACATTTTATATTAATATTTGAAGCATCAGTCAGAGAAGAGTAATATTAAAATACATACTTTGTACATCTATCTTTTTAGTTTATAGATTAATGCCTTAAAAACAATTCTCCATCAGTTAGATACAAAGAACCCTGTCAGCCTAAATTTTTCTCTATACAAATATCATCAACAAATGCTATTGACTCAAAAAACAATTATTCCTGTTATCTATCTAAGATTATAAGAACTGCTATAGAACTGAAATTATTATTCTTAGAAAATTATTCTCTAAACTCTAATTGGCTTATATCCAATAATTCCATACACAATACCATTATGAAGGCTGGGAAGGGAGAAAAAGTTGCACTTTACTACTATTTTGTCTCAATTTTCACTGAAAAAATAGATTGTTTAAAATTACATGTTCTCAGAGTGTCATTAGAGTTTTACAATAACAATAGAAATAAACAATAGTATTAACTGATTTGAACTTTTTCCTGAATAAATTATGGCTATGTTCCTTAGTGCAAAACAACTTTTTCAATCCTTTATATGCCTACATGTTGAAGAACCAAAATTATCTTCTAAAGAAAAGCCTGGCTCTACCTACAGCTACTTCTTTTCCTTATCTTATATGTACATTCCTTATATGAGGGATTTGGTATTAATACATAAATCCACTATAGTTAAGTGACAAGAAAGTAACTATTAATTCTTAAGCTGAGTTTGTTAACTCAAACAAAAAAAGAAATGCAGGCTTTCCAGCATTTAATAACTCTAGATTTTAGGACTGCCCAATTAAACACAAAAATTCTGTATCTACACCTTCTAATAACTTTTTCAAAAATAAATTCCAAACAAGGGAGCTCAGTTCAATCTTCAGTCTCAGTACTACAGAAAAAATAATTTATTTACATATTCTTAAAACGACCACACACAGACTTAATGTCATGTCAAATAAAACATACAAAGTTAATCTTATACATATTTTATGATATGCATAAATAATGAAGACACATTAGAAATTAGGATTAAGTAACACACAATTCACATATAAAACCATTACCTACCACAGCCAAACCAGACCTTTTCCAGAGTTACCTGTTAGGATAAGGTCACTTGAATACAACCAGAACTTTGGGTGCAAAACGCAATATTCAAAAACTAGGAAAATGCCCTGCTTTGAGTCCTAAAGGGGCTATCTGGCTTCCTAAGCAAATGTTACTGTATAAAAAGACCCTATTTTTAGACATCAAATTACGTCTAATAGGAGCTTATGGGCTACTTTTTTTGTTCCAGATAATACAACTTAATTATAATGCAGTTTAAGTATACACACTATAGGCTTCTCTGAAATGTAAAATTGTGACAGGGTTTTAACTATATTTTTTCAGCAAAATATTTACTGGTGCCACCTTCAATATGTTCGCTCACTCTAGCCCCCTGAATATTTCATTACACGTATTAAGAGTCAAAGTAACACCCAGCTAGCCCAACAAAAAGGAAGGACTTGTCAGTCTCTCCAGGATAGCCAGAACCATCAGAACCTACAGTGTCCAAATCTGCCTATATTTTTATACCTACTGATAGAAAATTAATCTTCTTCCTATCTGAAGAGAAATCTGAAAGCTAACAAAACAATTTCACCAACCACTGGTGATCTCAGAGTGAAAGGAACTCTTACTTTCACTAGGGAAAAATTATATATCCCCACTTGTCCTCTCCTGGAGATTCACCAGCTTTATTACCCCACTGGTTCTTATTCAAGTTTGCTTGTATAACTTATATAAAGCTTTTATTAAGTCTAAATCTTTGTATAAAACCCACAGCTTTAAAGAAAAAAAAGCCTATCTTAGCTATACCTAAGAAACTAAAAAATTAATCCTTAAGTAGACTAATGTAGTAATCAGGAATCCTTCTACTCCAGCATTCCCCTAAATTAACACCAACAGTCTCCCAAGACATCCAAATTCAAAAGGGCAGTGAATATTAATGCTGTTCTCATTCTTTTCCTCATTCCAGTAACTGAACTGTTTCAATTGTCTCTGTCTCTAAAATCTTCCCATTGTAAATTATACTTTCAGGAGGGGCTCAAGATGGCATCATGAGTAGGGCAGCTGAAATCTCCTCCAAAAACAATATACATTTTTGAAAACACAACAAATACAACTATTCCTAAAAGAGAAACCAGAAGATATAATACAACAATCAGGCTACATCAACATCTTAGAGAACTCAGCATCTCACGAAGGGGGTAAGATACGAAGCCGTGACCCAGCAGGACCCAAGCACTTCCCCCAACCCAGCTCACAGGCAGGAGGAAAACAGTCAGAGTTGGGGGGAGGGAAAGCACAGGATTGCTAAATAACCAGCGCTATTAAACTGCACCAGGAGCACAGACACACATTGCATGGTGTACTAGGTATTACAGAAATGGAAGGGTAGGGTACGAGATGGAGACTGCAAGTGGATCCCCACAGCCAGCTCTCCTAGGACAAAAGAAAGCAAGCGCTTTTTAAAAGTCTTAAAGGGACAGGGCTCAAAAGCTGAACAAAATCGTTGCAGCACACTCAGGCCAGCAAGCAGGGAATCCTGAGGAATGTCGGGCCCCTTAACCCCATGAGGGGGTAAGACAACCTCGAAGCCCCTTATGGCGATAAACAGCTAACCATTTATTCCCCCCGACCAAGGCTGCAAGCATAATGGCTGACCCACCACAGCTGAGGAGTAGAAGGAGAGCAGCCATGCCCACAGCAACCACACAGAGTCTCCTCCAAGCGCACAGCTAATCGGGACAGGCAGCAGAAGACAGAGCAAGGGGGTGCCGTTCTCACAGCAGAACACACCAGGCGCAGGTGCAACTACCCATAGTGCTCAAGGCTAGCCCAAGGGCAGCCCCGCTCACTGCGGCTCAGATTATCCCAGAGACTGCTCCCTGCTGTGCTGGTAACTGGCACAGGCAGTGGATACCAGAGCAAGGTCAGGAAGGTACAAAGGGATGCCATTCTCACAGGAAAACACATCCAGCGTGGCTACAACCCCCGCAGTGCACTAGACTATCCCAAGGGCTACCCTGCCCCTGGGAACTCAGGAGATTATCCCAGAGGCTGCTCCTGGTGTGGGGAACACAGCACAGGCAGCGGAGAACGACAAGGTGACCAACAAGCAGGAAGGAACTTTGTTCTCCCAGCAGACACACATGCCACCTGCCTGCAACCACTTGCCATGAAAAGGCAGGAGAATCTGGTCATCAAAAATCAATTAGACAACCCCAGAGAGAAGGTCTACTGAGAGAGATAAGGAATTTTCCTGAAAAAGAATTCAAAATAAAAGTCATAACCATGCTGATGGACGTGCAGAGAAATATGCAAGAGCTAAGGGATGAAACAGCAGACTACACCAGATGCAAGAGACTACGAGTGGAATAGATATGAGAGAACAGGAATACAGAGAAACTGAGGCAAAGAGAGACAAAAGGATGTCCAGAAATGAAAGAATATTAAGAGAACTGTGTGACCAATCCAAATGGAACAATATTCACATTATAGAAGAATGAGAAAAAAAAGACAGAGAAAACAGATAGAAAGTGTCTTTGAAGAAATAATTGCTGAAAACTTCACCAATCTGGGGAAGGAAATAGTCTGTCAGACCATGTAAGCCCACAGACTTCCCAACACAAGGGACCCAAGGAAGACTACACCAAAACATATAATAATGAAAATGGCAAAGATCAAAGAAAAGGACAGAGTATTAAAGGCAGCCAGAGAGAGAAAAAACAATCACCTACACAGGGAAACCCACCAGGCTATCATCAAACTTCTTAACAGGAATCTTACAGACCAGAAAAGAATGGCATGATATAATGCAGTGAAACAGAAGGGCATTGAATGAAGAATACGGTATCCAGCAAGATTATTATTTAAATTTGAAGGACGGACTAAACAATTTCCAGACAAGAAAAGTTGAGGTATTTGCTTCCACAAACCAGGTCTACAGGGGATTTTCTAGGGACTGCTCAAGATGGAAGCACACCTAAGGCTAAATAGATGTCACTAGAGAAAATAAAATCACAGCAAAGAAAGCAGACCAATCAAATACTAACTAAAGGCAAAAAATAAAATCAACTATCCACAAAAGCAGTCAAAGGTAACACCTAAAATATAAAGAGTGGAGGAGGAAGAATAAGAAGGGAGAGAAACAAAGAATCATCAGACTGTGTATATAATGGCATAATGGGAGAGTTAAGTTAGATGGTTAGACAAAAAAGACGCTACCCTTGAAACTTGGGAACCACAAATCCAAAGCCTGCAAAGGAAATAAGTACATATATATTAATAATCATCCTAAATGTAAATGAACTGAAGGCACCAATCAAAAGACACAGAGTAATAAAATGGATTAAAAAGCAAGACACAACTATATGCCCCTTACAAGGGATTCACCTCAAACCCAAAGATATACACACACTAAAAGTAAAGGGATGGAAAAAGATATTTGATGCAAACAATAGGGAGAAACAAGCAGGTGTTACAGTATTGTATCACACAAAATAGACTCCAAAACAAAGAAAGAAAGAAAAGATAAAGAAGGACATTGCATAGTAATAAAGGGGACAGTCCAACAAGAGGATATAACCATTATACATACATATGGAACCAACAGAGGAGCACCGACATATTTGAACCAAACATTAGCAGTATTAAACGAGGAAACAGAATGTAATGCATTCATTCTAGGAGACTTCAACACACCACTCACTCAAAAGGACAGATCAACCAGACATAAAATAAGTAAGGACATACAGGCACTGAACAACACACTAGAACAGATGGAACTAACAGACATCTACAGAATTCTACACCCAAAAGCAGCAGGATACACATTCTTCTCAAGCGAACATAGAACATTTTTGAGAACAGGCGATATACTAGGGCACAAAAAGAACCTAAGTGAATTCAAAAAGACTGAAATTCTACCAAACAACTTCTCAGATCACACAGGTATAAAA